TAATGACATACAAGAAAATACAGAGCATTTATTTGTTCATCTGCACAGCTATTAAATGTTACTTAGCATAACGCTGGTTGATGAAAATCAAAATCTAAACCAGTGTGTTTAGTATGGTTCCTTATATAATTTATGGGCTTTTTCTGCTATGATTGTGATCTGATGACAAGTTTTCTCTCCCTGGAGGCCCTTTGATTTCCGATTCTACTCTTTCCTGCTTAGGGAATAAGAGTCTGGATCTAGAGCTTTGTTGTCCAAGTAAATTCCTTGACAGTGGAAATGTTTGCATCTATCCAGTTGTACTCACAAGTCTCTGTGACTATTGAGCAATTGAAATGTAGCTAGTGTAACCAAGGAATGGTAATTTTAATTTTAACTAAGTAAATTAAATAGCCACATGTGGCTCATGGCTATAGTGTTACATAACATAGATCATAGAGTCACCATTTTAGGGAAAATAAATTCCAGATGAATTGGATCCACAAAAGGATCTCCTTTGGGCAAAGTACAGTATGCCACAATATTTCCTGTGAGATCCCATTACCTCCCTTCTCCGCTGAAACCAACAGTTTTACCCAGTTTAGTCACTGCCTGTATACTATTGTTAATTAGGACATGCACAAAAGAAACTAATAAATAATATCTACATGAATCTCTGAAGACTTCTCTAGGAACTGACTTTTGAACTTATTCTTAAAGAAAGTAAGTTCACCTGAGGTTGAAGCTGAGGATGAGTGGGGAAGGAGAAAGAGGTTTCTGGCAAAGACAAGACAAAGTATGGTATGACCAGGGATTACTTGATTCAGTATAACTGGCAAACAGTGTGTCTTTTGTGAAAAGCATTATGGGAGAAAAAATTGAAAAACAATAGTATATACTTTTAAACATAAAGTAATGACTTTGACACAATTTTTTTTCATTTTCTACCCAAAATGGTCATTCCTTCACATAGATGTAAGATTTCCTATTCTTTTTCTTTTTTGCAAATATCCTTTATGTTTTAATCATTACATAAAACAAATAAAATTGCAACATTATTACCTAAATTTATTACTTGGACAAGATTGAGATTTAGGGAATATATTTCCATGATGTCACCCATGGTTTATAATTTATAAGATTTTGGATTAGACATTAGCACGGTTATTATTTCCTCTAATGCCTTACCTCACCACAGTCTAATAACATTCAGGAAATCCAAAAGACAGAGAGGAAAGAGTAGTCTTGAAAGCTAAAACTAGTTGCTGAAAACTGATGCAATCATGTAATAAAATATGGCACAATAACTTAAATGATATACTCATAGTATCTGCTAAAGCAATTAGAATCCATGCAGCTAGATTTTTCTTCGTGTATTACAAAAAATGAAAACTTTCAGTCCAGGTAAGACTTATAAACTATGCAGTTTAATTGTGTACATTGTTCTTGGGATTTTTTGATCTTATTATTTGCATATGTCATCTATTTAACACTCTTTAAAACAAAACAAAACAAAACAAAAAAATCATCAAGTAGCAATAAGATTTCAAAAGGCCTAACAAGTACAACTGGAGCATTTTCTATGTGACCTGTTACATGTGACAACATAGGATGCTAATAACCTATTATATTAACACAGTTCTTTTAAGTTCTTTTACAATAGATTAATATTTTCACATATCTAATAGGTCTCACATGTCTAATAGGTTTCACATATCTAATAGGTTTCACTGATATTTGTGTCTCTTCGTATCACAAATTTATCAGGCATGTCAAAAAGGCAGTCTTCTTGAGAATTTTTATACTATTTTATTTGATAATGTTTTTTCAGGAAAGCTTTTGAACTAGACTTCAGTCTAGCTATAGGAAATAGCAATTTTCAATGCATTTTTGGTGTCCAAAGCATGTAGATATATTTTAAACATATGTCCTAATTTCCACTGATGAAACTATAAGCATGTACTTCCACTGTGGTATAAGCTACATCGATCAGTATAGGAAAGAATGGTTTTATTTTGCCAACTATAAACAAAACAGTAGAAAAATGATATTAATATTATTAAGAGAATAATAAGTATTATATAATATATTTTATTAAATATAATCTTCACATTAACCCTATAAGATTTTTTATACTCCATTTACAGATGAGGAATCTGAGTTCAGAAAGGTGTAAGGATTGCCTGAGGCCCAGAGTTAATAAAATTCAGAGCCAAGGGTAACACCCAGCTTTGTCTGATTTCAACACCCTTGAACCCCATTACTATGTATAATGGGTATGAATTTTACACTACAAACATTTGTATGTAAGCAATGTCTTTTTTACTTCCCTATTCAGAAATCGAATTTATTTATTCCAGTCCCCCAACGCACTAGGCTGAAAAGGAAATTCAGTTATTTACCTTTCAATAGAAGCATGTAAAAATGTAGAAGAATTGAATGGTAGATACCTAGAAATTTGGGTAAGAATTACATTTAAAGGGAAAAAAAGAGAAAAGAGAAAGCAGACCAGCTTTGAACATATTGCCTGACACCACCATGACGAAGGATAGATTTTCATCTTCTCTTGAACCATAACTGATATGCTTAACCTCTCTTCCTATGTAGTCTAATCCTTTACTTTGTAAATCAAATACTAAACACAAGGCTGAAAGTACTTCTCATCCGCCTTGGCATTGCCTTATTGACTTGTACACATGACCCCAGTTATCAAGTGTCTCATACTTTGAGGGGTAGCTCCTCCATCTTTGTCAGTATTGGAAAATGGCGTATGAGGACAAGACATTTATAATAGTATTTATAATAACGTTTTCAACCGCACCACCAATTCTCCCTGCTCTCTCTAACTTGTGATAAATAATCATGTATACAAACTTAAATAACATTCTTATGACTTGTGATAGTAGGGTATCTATCTTTTACTAAACATATTTCTTTTAGATTGGTTTCTAATTTTTATCAAAATATATCTAAACGTTTCTAAAGAGTTTCATCTATGCTTTTTTTTTATTGTTCAAGTACATTTTTCTCCATTTTCCCACCACCACTTTCCCCTGCCCCCTCCCCCACCACCTTCCCTCAATCCTTCCCCACTTTGGCTTTGTCCATGGGTCCTTTAAACATGTTCCTTGACTTGACCCTTCCCTCCCTTTCCTTGACCCCCTTCCCTCTTGATTCTGTTGTTTTCTTTTTTCTTTCAATGTTGCTGGTTATATTTTCCTTGCTTGTTGTTTTTTCTTAGCATATATCATTAAGTTTCATACTATAATCTTAATATTCAAATGCCTGTGATTAATTTGTATTTGTAAACAAGTTTGTAATTTTGTGACTTATATAACTGTCTTTAAGTCTAGTTCTTTCAAGTTATAACTAGGAAAACTTTAACAATAATGTGTGATTATTTTTCATATTTATTTGTTATAGTGGTGATATGAGCAGTATTAATAGAACAAAAATAAGTTGCATTTATTTATATTTTGCTGACTTAAAAAAGGTTTATTTCATTTTTTTTAAATTTTATACAATAAGCAAGTCAATTATCAGCACTGACTTTTTGGAAGCAGGAGCTCAAAGATATAAGTGGTGACCAAAGAATCAGAGCTAATCTTTGGCTTCTCTGGACCTGGTTCCTGAATCACTCTTTTTTTCCCACTACAACTCAGCGCAATTCTGAGAAACCCCACAAATTATCACACAGTGTAAATTTTAGAACCAAGCTAAAGAACCATCCTTGCTAAAGGATGACATTACCAAATACAGAATCAATGTGAGGAAAGAATAAACTCAGTAATTCCTACTCACAGTAATAAAAATAGAGAACACTTTTAGTTTCCTTTCTATTTCACTCCTCTTCCCTAACTCAAATGAATATTAAGAGTGATAATTTGAAACTCTGCCATTAGCTCCATCAGAAATATTAAACTTTAAATAAAGTGTTCCATTGGCCATAAAATGAACATCATTTACTATTCTACGAAGAGAGAAAATACTTTTATGTGACTAGTAGAGAAATTGCCAAAGAAGCTATTTTATTTCAGCCTGTGGACAAGTTAATGTGCTCCTGATAAAAGCATACACATTCTGACCTAATTTATTCCCTAGTGCACCTAGTCCTGAAAACAGTGTTCAGAAATACCACCCCTACCCCAGTTTATTTTATGGCTACATAGAAGTTACAGTAGCTAGACACATTCTGAGGGCAGGGCCTCAGGCAGAAGTTAGTTGTCTCATTATTAAGGATTTCATTGCAGTGCTTTTTGGAATACTTTCTACCTTGGAACATTTTCTACAAGAAAACATTCACTCAAGTTTCTGGGATCTTGAGTCAAGTTAGAAGACTTCCCAGTGATATATATGTGTCACCTGTGTGTTTGTTGTTCTACTGATACAACCTCCAATCATACCTCCCCTAACATGTAGTTTTATATGTCTCACTTTAGAAACATTGATAAGGATAGTTTCAGGTACCTTCCACCTTCCAGTGTGAGTTATTTAATAATGCATAGAAGCATGGAAGTAGCAAAGTTGTAGTAATGACAAGAGTGGGAAAAGTGACTGCTATGGCTACATAGCAATTTCTTCTGGAATGTAAAGTAAAATAGTGTATTTTATTCTAGAAATCCAAAATAGTCTATTGCTTTTTTCTTTTTGTGAAAGAATAAAAAGAGTCATTTTTAAATGGAAAATTCTTTTTTTCAGGAGCCATTAAGATAGCTCTTGGCATACCTATGTAATAAAATGATCCCTCTACTCTTATCATAACATGTCTTGTCTTCGGAGTTCATTTACACACTATTACTTGAACATACTAAACATTACTAAAAAAATCACTGAGTTAAGTAGATTTTTGGCTACTACTAGCTAGGTTTTAATTCACACAGTTATTTTTCCATATCTAAAGTTTATACAAATAATTATACTTCTTGACTATGAAAATGAATACTCAATCTCTCTGATAAACTGGCATGTTAAAAATACTTCTTAAAATAAATAAACTCAGTCCTTCTCTTCCTTATCTACAGGACAACATTTTTAAGCTGGAAGATTCACACTTTGAAAATGGCCGTGGGAAGAGTCCATATGACCCTAAACTGCTGACAGCATCTCTTTTAATAGGTGCGTAGAAAACAATCAATGAAGGAGTGATTTTTCTAGAGATAATAACCAGATTGCATGTTATTTATCATATGTCAATATTTTCCATTATTTATCATAAACTATTTTTAAAATGAGGTAACAGTAAATGCTGCTTTGATGATTGCACTATCTAGACTATGATTCTTTTAACTCAAAATGGTTTAATAGTTTCTTTGAAGTTACCAGCTCAATACTGTACATCCCCACTAGAACTTTAAAATTTTTATTTTGAAAGAAATGGTTTTGGTTTTCATTTCATGAAAGACCTGTTTTAAATGGCAAATTTTGACAAATCAAAAGAAAAGAATGGTTGTCTTTTTAATCGAAGTTCCAAGATTTGTCACACACTCAATATTTGGAAACTTAAACAGCACAATCAGTCTAACTAGTGGTACAGTTGGCAGAGACCCCATTGTGTTACTTTGAGTTGATGAAGACCTTCTATATTCATCTTTTTTGACTTTACCTCTTCTACTCTTTTTTAAATAAAGCAAAACATTTTGAATACTGTTTCTATCCTTGTCTCTAAACCATTTTTCTTTCCAGTTTTTTTCTTTACCTTTTTCCTTCAATATTGAAGATGGGTAGTGAATCTTCATCAGATTTTGAGAGGATAGAAGTAGGAAGATAAAAATAGGCAGATAAAAGGAGAAATCTTTAGTTCGTATAAAAAGATAATTTTTAAAATTTTTTTACAGCTTATGTACTGAAGTTAAATAAAACACAAACAGAAAGTTAACGCCATTAAACAATTTTTCTACTTAACTTTTGAGTATACCAACAACCTAAAACACAAAAGATACTTGGTCATTATCCTGTTCCTGAATGTATTTTTCCATATAATCATGTAGAAATTGTGTAACTTTTTGTTTATTGTTTTATAAATTATCCAAGGTAATTATTTGATAACACAACAAAAATAGTAATAAAACTTTTCAAGTGTAAAAATTTCTAGTGGAAATTTGAATAATAAATCCAGATTGTTAAAAAGTAAATTTAGATTATTATTTTATGTGCCAAGTTCCATAAAGTTTTGCCAGTGTTTTCTTTTTTTAAAATAATTTTTATACTTAACAAAATAAAACTAGTCATATTGACCGCAACATTAACTATGAAGATGTATGTTTCCAGTATTCTCTAGTATTTATCACTATACAACACTAATTCCTTTTCTATTGAGAATAAAGTCACTACAGTGTGAATTATCTTCTCTGCTGCTTCTCAAATGTAGACAATTTCGGTCCATTTTATCCATTTATGGAACATTTTAACAAAAGTTTAAAGACCTGAAGAAATGCAGCAAATTTAGCACACTTATAATTTTCCTATTCACAGATGGCCTACAGATTACATGTGGGTGACTTCCTTAAGTGCACACACAGAAATTTGAAAGTTGTCTCAAACAAAGGAAGAGAACCCAATCTTGTTTGAACTTGCAGCCTATACTTATTTAAATTGCATGCTGAAAAAAAGGATAGATTTTCCTCAAAAAGCAGTATGTAAAATTGTGCCCAAAGCAGCTTTAATTTGTGGTATGTTTCTCAGTAGGGATTTGTTTGATTATTTATTTTAATATCCCATTGAGAAAGGATGATGACAAGTAGGTATTACATAGTTCATTTGGTATGCAACCACACAAAGTCCACAAAGAATATTTCACTCCACAGTTTGTGTTTTATCTTAGAAATTCTTTGAAAAAAAGCTCTGTAAGTTTGTGAAAAAAAAAAAAAGAGAATGAGGGAAGTGTTGTAAGTCAAGGAGAGAATGTATGACTTAAAAAAATAAAAAAGTAGGCATTTCAGAAAAGCAGCTTTAAAATGGAAGTCCAGACTTCATCTATTTAATATGGTAAAATAATTTAGTACCTTTCAGAAATATTTAGTGCTTATTGACAAGGAGGATTATTCAAGCCAACATAAATTAATTTATGAATCAATTGATTAAAAAGATAAAGAAAAATTAACAGGCAATATTAGACCTGGTAAATTTTCTCAAAATATCTGCAACACCATTTTAATTCAAGAGCTGTGACTTTCTTTATTGAAGTTATTTACTTCTCTTATAATTATGCTATAAATTCTTCTTCTCCCAGTACATTTAATTCTCCTTATTAGATTTTTCTTGGCGTTTTCCATAGTGCTGCTTTGAAAAGAATGCTTACTAACTAAATGGAGTTTTTTGAAACATAAGTATTTTCTACTGCACTTCCCAAACTTTTATATAAAAGGGTAACTACTGTCTCTGAACTATACAGGTTGTTGGGAAAAACTATCTACAAAAAGATTTTTGAATATATTCTCCTAATTTCAGCACATAAGAAAATTTTCAAGGTGATTCTGGGCTGCTTCTTTTTCCAATACTGGGAAATAAACTTCCATGTTTGACACAAGACACCTATAAACTAGATGGCTAGATGGAGCTTGACAGCAGATACTTTTATACCCTTTATTAAGCAGTTTCAACTAATAGTAAACTTTAAAACCAGATAACAGCTTAAAATTTAGTTTATGAAGTCTATGAAGCTTTAGTATAACCTCTTTCCAAAATGCCATGGGTTTTTAAGCTAATGTTTGTAGGAAATATGGATTATATCCTGAGGAATGCATAGCTACTGATTTAAGTTCCCAAATCCTATGTGTCGAAGTTTTTAAAATTCACATCAGTCAAGTTAATTTTTCAAATCTTCTTGAATAAAAACCATTATCAATATGAAATTGCTCTAGTATTTATTTTTAAATATTTGTTATTTTGCCCACAGGTAAATATTTTATGACATTTTTAATAGTTATTTATTAAAAATTGTAGTAGCTGTCTTGCATAGAATACATACCAGGTGTGAACACAATAAAAGAATGAAACTTAGTATTTTTTCAGTAAGTATCATCTCACATTTTCATGACATGAGAGGATTAGTCAGCTTGAAAGCAATGTTATTTCCTCATTGAAATCTTCTCTAGGTATTGCAGTGCTGATCATTTTGAAATATTCTATCACTAAGAGATATTATTGAGATCTGATTCAAGGGTCTAGACTGTTAGCTACAGTTTGTTTTCCCAAACTAGAATTTTGCCAGGCCTCAAGAAAGAACAAAATTTTATATTAGGATAAACTCTCACTTTGTGGGGGGTTTTTTGTTTGTTTTAAGAATATTTTATTCATTTATTTTAGAGGGGGAAAGGAGGGAGGAAGTGAGGGAAACGGCAATATGTGGTTGCCTCTCACGCACTCTCTACTGGGGATCTGACCCACAACCCAGGCATGTGCTCTGACTGGGAATCCAACCGTCAGCCCTTTGGTTCACAGGCTGTTACTCAATTCGCTGAGCTACACCAGCCAGGGCTATACTCTCACTTTGTATTAGAGCAAACAAGGTACTCCTTAAATTAATTAACTATAATTGAGAAAATTATTTGAACTTCTCAGAGTGTCATTTTCTTTGCATATAAAATAGCTTGGCCATTGTTGTTTCATTGGTTTATGGTGAGATTAAATAAGACAGTGCGATAGCATACTGCGTTTGAGTGGTTACATGTTCTGAAATATATGTGAAATAGAAACAAACAAATAAACTATAAACAACTGGTAACAGTAGTTGCCTGTGTGAAGTCTGGGAGACAGATTTGGTCCTTATAAATGTTTTATTTTAATAACTTTGTACCATGTGCAGATATTGACTACTAAAAAAATATTAGCTTTAAAGGACAACATAAGTAACAAAACCAACAGACTCAATATATATTATACAAGGTGGGGTGAAAGGCAGGTTGCAGTTGAATATGCAAAACAGTTTATTCTTGTATTATTATTTTAATTATTGTATTATTTTTCATATAGACAACTATAAACCTACTTTTGTCCCACCCTGTATTTATTGGTATAGGGAAACATGTTCAATAAATTTAAAAATGTAAAATTATTCCCATACTCTTCCATTCTCAGGAAATAGATTTCATCCGTGTGTATATGTACATGTGCGTGTGTATGTGCGAGAGACAGGGGGAGAGAGATTTCTTTTTCCTCTGGTTCTGATTACTCTCCACTATGAGTGGAATTTACTTAAGGTGTTAACAACATAATGGGGCTTGGTCTTTAGGGTTGTTTGATTTTTGCTCACATCTATGTCACACTTTACACCTGTGTTAGTAATGCTTCCATTTCATCAGGAAATGTTTTTTCACCTTCTGTTTCTCCTCACCACACCCTTCTTAGGAATTGTAATCTAATACATTAGCTGATCTAAGCCACATTTTTACTTCATTTTGCATTGTGAACAGAAAGTCCAGAATGCACATGAATTTTTGTTTTTAACACATGTTTCTCAGATAACTCTGCAATGGTAGAAATGCAGTTCTCTAAACTTCTTGTTCATCTTAGTGAAAAATGCTTTCCTTAGACAGTTTAAAAAACTGTCAGTAAAGAAAGAATGGCAGTGTACTCAAAAAGCGACTTTTATATTTGACAATTCCTGAATGGTTAGTTACATCTGTCAGCAGTAATGTATCTTACTCCAATGTATTATTTTTGAAATACCAAACTGCCTATGTTTTCTTTTGTGGAAAGACTTAAAAATATGGTTGGACAGAGTGTCCACAACTACCTTTTCATATATATCACAATTCCTTCAGTATATCATTTCATAATAAATTTAATCAAATTGAACACATGTCCTATGTTCTTTCACTAGTAGCTTAGTATACATAGAAAACCCAAAATTATCTATCTTAACTGTGATGTCATCTCTATCATAACATTTACCTAATACACTACTTCAAATTCTCAGGAAGGCATATTAATGGTCAGAAAACTGGTAAATTATTATGTCCAAGGGTCAACATATAATTTGGTACCTTCATAACTAACCTAGAAACTACAAAAGAAGTTTGGCAATTAGGCATTTTTGTTAAACATATTTGTAAACATGCCACCTGAAGTGTATAGTAAATGTCTTATACTCAGATACCATTAACTCATTTGAGATAGCCACAGAATGTACTAAGTCTTTAATGCATGGTGAAAGAAAATGTGCAAGTATATTAAATAAAATATACTCTGAGCTGAAATTATATTTCTGCTTAATGAGAATGCAAGAGTAGGTTACTACACCACCTATAATTTTGTGTCAAAAAAATCATGTCATAAATTTTCTGGAGCAATTATCCTTGATAAGAATCTTATAGAAATCTCAGCAGAAAATAGGATCTAAGACCTGTTATAAAGGAATAGGCACTGATATTGAGCACCAACACTGAGAATGTACCCTTCATGGCCACCTAATTATCTGGTGCCCTCCAGCTCACAGAAATCACTCTGGGCTTGCCAAAAGTGATATTCCGGTAGAAAAGGTAACTTCCTGTTACTGGAGGCAACTGGTATCCAAATGGCAGCACACCTTTGGTTTATAAGTCTATTGTTTAATTCTGTTTTTAGTAATAAATTGAGTTAATAGCCCCTTCTGCTGTATAGCTCTCTTACTTTCACTGAATGACCAGTCAACTGATATTAAAAGAGAAACAAACCTGCCATGCTCCCTTTGCCTTTATTTGTATTGATTTTTGTCTTCCTTATGTGGAGGTGGTTAACAAAAAAATAGGTTTAAGTTATAAAATCATTAGCCAAATGAATAAGAGAAATAATTGTCTGTCTATATCCAAGTAACAGTTTCTTATGTTGATGTTGTTTTTGTTATTTCAACTCTCCCCTGAATAGAGTTTACATGTAATAACAACCATAATTACAGATTTTACTCATAAAAAAGCTAAATGGGATAAATAGAATAATTAATTAATGACAATCTTTACATTTTTAATTATGCTTCCAGTTGTGCATGCTCTATCTGACTATATTCTCATATGATATTGTCCAGTTTTCTCTTTTTGTAGTCTCTATTTTCACCCTTCCTGATTTTTACCACCTAACATGTGGGTAAGGAATGACTGAGGTTCAACTAATAACTTAATATTTTTTTATTTCTGAAGGTAAAGAGCGTCTCAAGCATCCTGCGACAGGTGTTAAAGCATGAAAAATTTTTAAATTGACATGAACATTTTAGGCTGTTTTCACAACATATTTTAAATTAACACCCCATTATTCACACAGAACAGGAAAAGCAATTCACCAGAAGTTTTAAAATATTTCTATATATCAAGTATTTGCAAAATGATAAAATACCAAGCTTAATAAAAATGGTACATCAAGGAGGATACAAACTTCCCATGGAGAAAAAATTAAGTTGCAGCAATTGAATACAGATTTAAATTAAGAAAACAATAAGCATTCAAACATTTCGAAGTACCTTTTAAACTTACAGTTAACATAGCATATTCATAGCATTTTTGTGCTTTTAGAAAAGGGTTATTTATTTTTTCAAATTAAATGTCTTGGGATGAAATTGATTAAAAGGGTTTTTTTTTTAGTTTACGGTTAGATAAAATATTATTGCAGCAAGTTATGGTGAGAACAAGTGGGATTTGAACTTCATATTTAATTAAGAGAACATATATGCTTTTGAATCACAAAGATACAATACTATGACAATTTGGGATGCCGTATGAGTTCCATTTATTTAACTGTTTACCTTTACTTATTATATTGTCCAACAATCATTTTTTGTTTGTATTGATTCACAGCAATCCAAAATAAATGATCAATATTTTTAAACTCATTCAAGATAAGGGGTCTCTCTATTAATAATTAAAGTCCTAAGTTGGAGCTGTTTGATGGTTCTTTCTGTGTAACTATTCTTCACTGCTTTGGGGTTTCTCAAAGCCTGGATTGGTGCATTCAAACACATCAGAGAATCACAGGTTTTACCAAAGAAAATGATTTTGATTGGACCACCAATAATGCCTATTTTCTATTGAAGAGCCCTTATTTACAATGAGAATTGAGGGTGTAAACAAAGGACATTGTACAAGCAATCAGATTAATAAAACTTTCTCAAAGGCATTTATAACTGAAAATTCACAGGGTTTTCCATTCGTCTAATAATATGAAATTTCTTTGAAAATGAAAATCTTGCTATTTAAATATTTAGGTGATATTTTATCTATTCCCACTTATTTTCTGAATATATTTCAAATCAATGAATTCAAAAGTATTAACATACTCAAATGATCAACAAGATAATATATATATTTTTACTGTTATGGAAGATAATAAGGAGAAAATTTTATAATTTTTTTAAATTTTATTTTGCTGATAATTAACTGCAAGTAAACAAGCAACAATGTTATTTTTTGGATGAAATAGTATGCGACACTTTCTGTTTAAAGAAAACAGAACATACCATTTACCAATTACAGTTTATTGAAAGGTCCTATGTTTTGATAAAAGAGGCTTGGGATTAAACGGGCCTGTGTTTGAACTTTCACCTTGACTTACCTAGTCAGCTGAGCAACCTTGGGTTACTTGAACTGTAAAACAGAGGTACATTTGTATCATGGGGTTGTTGACAGAACTAAGTGAGATCATCTGAAAGTGTCAAGCCAGGGCCTAACTGCCTGACAAGCACAGAGTAGTAGTAGTCAGTATATATTAACTTCTCTTTCTTCTCCTTTTTTCCTTTTCCTTTCTATACTTTACGTTTTGATTAGGAGTCTTCCATTATTAAACTCTGACCTGGAGTTAATTCAGTTAAAGTTGGAATAAGTCAAAGGACAAATAATTTGAACCATAGTGATTATGAGCTGTGTTTGTAAAATTTCCTCTTCTCCAAATATATCTTTGTCATATATGAGGTTAGGTGGTGGACTTTTCTTTTTGACTGTATTTATACTAAATTAAGACACTTTTCCAAGTTATAAATAGCAAGAATAAATGACAAAGAAAATATTAGTACTTTCTAATTAGAGCAAAAATAAGATTCTACTAAAAAGGATAATCTTAGAAATTTCATTTCCATAAAATAAGAAATATAAGCAAGATTTTCCAATGATTCCTCATCCTAATGAGCAAGATTATTAGAACCATAGTATTTTACAAATAAAAAACCAAACAGTGTGTATACTTTGTAAATTTATGTCTTGTTATAGTTGAAAAGAATAAAATTTATGTTTTAGAAATGTCCACTGAATCACATTTTACTTAATTTTTCAAAGGTAGTACTTAACGAGTAGTCAGATAGTACTTAATCAGTAAATGATCATTAAATAAAATACTCTTTTAAAAAAGATTTTATTTATTTATTTTTAGAGAGAGGGGAAGGGAGGGAGAAAGAAAGGGAGTAAAACAACAATGTGTGGTTGCCCCTCAAGTACCCCTTACTGGGGACCTAGCCCGTAACCCAGGCATGTGCCCCGACTGGGAATAGAACCAGCAACTCTTTGATTCACAAGCCAGCACTTAATCCACTGAGACACACCAATCAGGGCAATGAAATACTCTTTTTAACAAAGACATAGGATTAAAAAATAAGTAGCTTCACATAATGGTGCAGAGAGCATTTCTGTTTTATTTTTCACATGGTCTTAACATCAGACTTGCATTTTGTTTGTTTTGTTTTTCTCGCCTTAACTGAATTAACGTATACATATGTGGTTTTATTTTGTCACAACACAGATGGAGAATTATACTCTGGAACAGCAGCTGATTTTATGGGGCGAGACTTCGCTATCTTCCGAACTCTTGGGCACCACCACCCCATCAGGACAGAGCAGCATGATTCCAGGTGGCTCAATGGTAGGTGGTGCTTGTAAGAACAGACACGTAGCAGGTGTAGTTGTAGTAAGTAAGTGGAGAACTTTCTTCGTATAGTACAAACAATGACTTGTGGTTTAGTATGCAGTTAAGCTTATAGTGGTGACTTCATGACTGTGGGTGTGAGAAAGTTGGGCAAAAGAGAAGAGAGTGATTAAGGATTCAGGGAAATATTTGCTTTGTGCCAAAAGTGAAATTTCTCAGCAGTTAACTATGGAAAGAAATAGATCTGGGCTGGAGCTACGGAAGGGAGGCAATGGAAAATGATAAGATGACTTACCAATCCAGTCTTACAGGAACACCACAACAAATCTCATGATGTAGTGGGTTTTTTTTTTTTTTCCTCCACACCTCTCAGATTTCCTTGAGAACATCCTATAAGTTATTTCACATTTTTAAAAAATTGTGCTAATGACAACATCACATTGAAAGTATTTTCAAAATTTCAAAGGACTTTTATAACATTTAATCTGATTCTCCTTTAATCTTTCTAAAACCCTGTCTCCCATGGTATAGGTGAGGAAATTGAGACTTGCATCTAAGATTACATCTAACCCAGTAGTAGGAGATTTGGAACAAGAACCCAATTTCTCTAATTTCAGTCACTGGCTCCACTACTTGATTAGTAGATACTTTTTATTTTTTCTCTTTCTCTCTCTAGTAAATAAATAATTGTAGTATAGGAGAAAATGTACAAAATTTATATGCCTAAAATAAACAAATGCTATTTTTATTCAGATTTTGAACTAAGTAATCCCTATATGTTCTTATATCTAGAGTTAGATTTTGTTTGGATGATTCACTTACACATTCATCAAAGGTTTTTATAATGGTTCCCACAGCATTATCATGGTTATTTTTCATTATTAAATAATTATCTCCCTTTACATCATCCTCCGGTCTTATAAAATATAGCTGCCAAGTCGCTAATCTTCCATCCATGACCTTTTGCCTGGCTTCAAATGCCTCATTAATAAGGATGAAACTCTTGGTTTACAATCCATGTATGTTTTCAGTACGATGCTTGATTATCTCATTTCTTTGAACTTCTACCACAATTATTTTTGCTGCCATTTCTTAAGGAGAACCCCAAAATTCATTTCATCACTTGGTCCTTCATTGATTTGTTAGGGGAAAAATTATAATATTGCCTCTGAACCTCACTTAAATGTCAGGAGACCATGAGTTGCCTTTGACAATCTCGGTTCTGATATATCTCATGTTCTAAGTGACTATTCAAAACATAAACTGTTCCACAAGTAACTTCAATCAGCATCTCTTCCCTCCTGCAACAATGGTTCTGACCATCCTATTATTTTTAATGTATTAGTGTGAATGGCATGCCTCTTAGTTTCCACATTTTACCCTCTACCTTTGCTCCTAACTGCATTGATGATCTTTCATAAATTTACCCAATTTACATTTCTTTTGCTGTCTTTATCTCTTCTTGACCACTACTTTTTTTCTTTGAGCTGAAAACCTGTTCATCCATCTTATTCATACACTTCCTTTAATCATGGTTTGTCATGAAGGGCCTGTATATCTCAGTTCATAGCCTGACTACACACTTGTTTTCTCAACATTGTTACCGCTTTATCCCCTTTCAACCGGACTTTGATCCCTTGAAACTGCTCCTCTAAAGGTCGCTGGTGACTTTCCGCAGCTTTTTATCAATCTCCATTTAGAAAAACCTCTCCTGCAGTATTTGTCACTCTTAACTAGGCTTTTCTCTTCAAAAGCCACTTTAGCTTCCTTTTTGTTCTGCTCTCCCAAGTTTTAACGAAGTTTGATATCACTCACTCCCCCATTGTTGTTCTCTTTAATGTAGGTGATGCCTAAGATCTTTAATATTAAATACAAACACCGTGGTAGTCAAAGGAGATTGGACATATAGTTAAAAACCTACCCTGGGGAGAGAGGAAGTGCAGTGGCAGCTGGGTGACCATCAGAGAAATTATGTTTCTCACCAAGAAAGAGAAAATATACTGAGATCATGATAAGCCTATCTGTGTAAAACTATAAAAGAACCTAACTCCAAATTCCCGGAGGACAGTTCTGGAATATCCACTGTTGCTATCTGGTCTATTCTCCAACTGAAATATTTATTTAGGAAGAAAAATGTTTGTTTTTATTCTGCAAGAAGGAGACTGATCTACCAGGAACTAAAAGGCATACAGGCTTTCACTGTCCATGAGAAAGAAAACCTCATTAGGAGATGGAATCACATAAAGGAGAGCACAGTATCCATTTCATTTTTATGGCCTTGGAGGGAAAAAGTCATCAAGTTAAAGCTGCTTTTGTGCTGCACACACTCACATGTTGACAGCTGAGTCTGAAGAATTTACACTGTGGGAAAAGAGTCATTGTCCGCAGCTCTGTACTTCATCTCTGCAAATGTGTAGTTCATTTGAGAATTCAGTTATCAGTCTCTCAGCACTAAACGTGAGAACTGATTTTACCAAATTAACACAAAGGTTACGTTTGACAGGGTGCAGAAACCAGAACTGCGGTGAGGCGGGGGATGCAAACACATCTGAGATAGAACGGAGGGGCTATGTGAATCACAGCCCCATGGAAATAAGTACCATTGCAGAATAACATTGGAAACATAATGTTTACACATTCGTGCATAAAATGAATGAGTGCGGAGGCATGAGCATATAGACTACACAATCATTTGTGCTTCCGAAGTAATAAACTGCCTTGCAAAGTATTTTATAAAAGGTCTAGTAAAATTAATTTTGACACAGAACTTACTTTACTTTTCTCAAATTAATTCAAACCATTAATTTTGGAAGAATGAATTGTCCTGCTTTAATGACTTTTAATGTTTTTCTAAAATTTTTTTTAAAAAATTGTATAGAATTGGATGTTGCAATATCTGATTTTTAATGGAATTTCACTACTTTCATAATTACTGGCTAAAATTTATGTCCTTATGATAGTGTCAGTAATAGTTTAAATTCAGTTTTATTTAAACAAGATATATTAAGAATGAGTAGTACATTTAGGTAAAGAAACAAAAGTTGCTTTTTAAAACTTTTTCATTGGCACTAGCTCCTGGTTTAAAGCTGATAGATGTTAGAACAACTTTTGATTTTAGAAAATGTACTGGTATGTGTTTGCCATGATGTCCCCAATTCAGAATGTTTTTCCTCAAACTTCATAAATTCTCTCAATGTTATATTTTTTTAAACTTAAGCTCCAGGTTTGGTTTACTAACACTGTGAGGATTAGGTGAAAATGTTATTTACGTATTCATAGTAAGGATACAAAATAAGTTTATGTTATTGTTATAGTAATGATTTCTTAACCTTTATTATGTAATTACTACTACCTAGTTCTCGTACATATTAGCCATTCATTAAAGCAGATGTATGGTTAACCCGCATTTATTTTTCTATTTGGTGAACACTCTTTTCAGTATTGTTTATGTCTTGAACTAATATTGGAAGCCTATATGTTATGGAAGAAATACCACAGTATTTACAGTAAGACAAAGTTTCACCTTACTTTGGACCTTACTTTTGATGTGATTGTATTACTACCTATGACTTATAGTTGTAAAATAAAAAAGACCACATGCTAATCTATAAAAAGTCCTAAGCAGGTGATTGGCATGTGGTAAGCATTTAATAAATATGAGTTTGTTCTGTATCTTTTATTCCACTTCCATTGGGTGGAGCACACTTAGGAAGCTTTGTCCGATTCATTCTGCCAGTGATTATATTCGCGTCAGGGTGCAAGGGCGGTCACAGGAGGCTTTAATACAAAGCCACATGGGTCCTGGGGAGAACCAAGGCCCAGCGAACACAAACAGACCTAATTATAGTACCCAGAGTGTGAGGCCTTCCTACTCACTTCAGAAAGACCTGTTTTCTTTTAGTGGATTTCCTAAAAGGATTGGGCCTGTGGATAGACCAACCCACTTGCTTTTTTTCTGTAATTGAAATGGTATGCAAGTCATCATTCTGCTTCCTCTCACTTGTAACACTCTCATACCAGCCTGGCCTGCCCTTATTGGAATGAGCATAGCTTCCTCTGAGGTCTTGTACCAGGATATTTCATATTCTCTGAAGATTCAAATTTCTCTGTAAGACATATTTTTATGCAAATAGAACCAGGGAATGTGATTGCAAATAAATTATGAGAGTACAAATTAATGTTGCATGGTACCAGATACTTAATCTCAAACCATTTGTACAACTCTTTTGATGTACTATTTTAATTCTATTATCTTTGAAGTTATAAATTATGTCAGAGTATTCAATTACATTTTTTAATAAGTAAAACAAATATAGCTTTGCATAATGTCAGACTTCTTAATGATGCCATTTTGAATTATTTCTCTGGCTTAAGTAAGGTAGTAATATATTTTGCTGACTGTGGTGAAAAGAGCCCTCTGGAAGTCTTATTTTATGGTTATATGAGCAGATAAATATTATGGAAGAAGAGTGACCATTTAGTTAAAACAGCATCGGCAACCACAAACTTCTTCTTGGTTTTCATAGCTTGTGAAAGACACAACAAAGATGCGGTCTTTTTAAATTTTGAATCACAATTGTGAACTATATTCAGTTAGTGAACATTTCTGAAGTATCACTGCATAGAGTCGCACATAAAAATAATCATATTTTTGGTTATTTTTACTGAAATTATGCTGAAACATGGATATGTAATAGTTTAAAAGTATTCATACCTACTAACTACATTGCTGTATACCAAAAACCAATACAAAATAATATTGAAAGTAAAAACCATTGAAAATAGAAAAATAAAATAAGAAAACCGATCTCAACAACAAAAATTATTCATACCTTAACTTAAATACAAACTATTAGTTATCTGTTTTTTTCTCATGAATCTATTACCTGGAAAAATTTTCATCCTAATAAAGAATGCACACACCCAACTATAAGTTTTTCAAAAACAGACTCCATGAAATTAATCTACTCTCTAAATTATAATACATTTAATAAGTT